AAACAAATGAACTGATTGGGAGAAATGCCACATTCAATAGTGAATGTAAGAGTGAGTTTAACATCAGTAAATGATCACTAATGAGTCAGGATATTTTCTTAAGAATGGAAGCTGGCATCTAATGCAGAATTTCCACCTCCCATTTCTGGCAGATCCCATTTTTGCAAGGGGTCTGTACATGAATTATATGGTTGAGAAGCCTGAGCTCAGCTGAGAAATTTAATTTGTCTGCTGAGTAGAAACACACCACATTTTTTTTTTGGCAATGACATTGAGTCCACTATGCGCAAACCACAATTTTATGGAAGAGATGTCAACATTTTTGAAGGGTAGACTTAAGGTTTACTTAGCTGTTGAGATTTGAAACAATTTAAATCCCCAACCCTTTAAAATTGAGAGTTTATAACTTTCACTTCGAGTTTCAAAACACTGTTAGACATCTCTGTTTGCAATTTTGGTAGACTAAGTTGTTTAGATTTTCCCAAGATTTATTATTATAGATGAGCTCTTTATGAATGCTTGGCAAGGAGTTTAATAAACATTTTGACAGTTTTTAAAGAAGTTTTCGAAGAATTAACTCTCTCTGAAGTGGTTAATGAAATAGATATTTTCCAATAGTTTGACGACTTAATTTTTTTGATGGCTTCATAAGTGACAGTTTTAAAATCTTAAGTATGTTTGAGTATTGGTGTTGGATTTATGGAAGTTTAGTTTTTTATATAACCAAGTCTGTGCAATGCTGAATTAAACTTCTTTTGTTATCAACGTTATCACTCCTGCCACCCTTATCAACCCACTGTACTATTACTTCAAAGAACTCAATTGGATAGTCAGATTGTTTGCCTTTGACAGATCTGTGCTAACTTTCATCTATTAATTCATACATTTCCATGTGGCAATTAATTTAATCCCAAATTTATTTATCACAGATGTCTCTACCATTGACATTGATAGTCAAGTAGTTGCTGGGTTTACCTCTCTCCTTTTTTGAACAGGAGTGTAACGTTTGCAATCTAAACATCTTTTAGCATCATGTACATATCAAAGGAGAATTGGAAGATTACGGCTAGGGCTTCCAGAATTTCTATTGTTAGTATGTTTTCTAGAATCTGGATTAGGCAATTTTTGTACTTTGAACAGTGCTAAAATTATGACTACTTTTATCTGCCTTTATTCTGTGTATTTTCTTTGTCTTTTACTGTCAATTTGGCAGAATCCTTGGTGTTGGTAAAGATGATGCATTGTCTTGATTTACTATCTCACTGTGCTCTCTGCCTCCACTCAAATCTCCTACTTGTGACTATTCCTTTAAAAATCCTTCCAATCCCAGCACCTGAGACTTTAGATCTTGGCCTAGCTCCACTTGACAATATCAAGAATTAATCTGGTGAACCTGTGTTGCACCTTTTCTAAGGGAAGTGTGTTTTTCCTTAGATAAAGAATTCACAATACTCTGGATGTGGTCTTGCCAAAGTATTATATCATTGTAGAAAGACTTCTTTACGCTTGTACTGCAACCTAATTGCGTCCCTGTTTTCTTGCAATGCGTTGTGCTAAAAAAAAGGGCTTGAACTAAAGTAAATAATATTTTAGTGATGACAGTAAACAAAAACTTCTGGGCAATAGTCCCAAAAGTACACAAACTGGAAGTACCCCTTAGACCCATAGTCTCCCTACCAGTCACGCCATCACACAGATTAGCCAAGGAACAACTACAAAGGAGACTAAGGTACCTCGTCAACAAGTCACCCTGCTCAATCCACTCAGCCCAAGAGTTCCTCAATTCATTCAAAGACATAAGGATAGATAACGGTGAGACCATGGTATCGTTTGACGTCACTGCCCTATTCACATCAATAGACATACCACTAGCAAGGGAAACAATGACAGCACTACTAAAACAAGAACAAGACCCTAATGACACCAACTCCACAGACAACATGCTGAAGCTACTGGACCTATGCCTCACCACCCACTTCACTTTCAATGGCCAAACATACGAACAAATCAACAGGACACCCATGGGATCATCTATCTCCAGACTAATAGCTGAGGTGGTGATGCAAAGACTAGAAAGTACGGCCCTTCCGCTAATCCAACCAAAACTATGGATATGCTATGTGGATGACACCTTTGTCATCATTAAACGGACCAAACTAGAGACACACAAACTAATAAACAACACCCTCACCGGAATCAAATTCACCAGAGAGGAGAGGAACAAACAGCTCCCATTCCTAGACGTCATGGTAGAGTGCAAGACAAATGGCGAATTCCAAATGAAAGTACACGAAAAGCCACACACACTGACCAAGTACTGAACTTCAACAGTAACCACCCTAACACACACAAATGAAGCTGCGTGCGAACATTATTTAAACGGGCAACAACACACTGCAGCAGCACAGAGCTACGCCGAGAAGAAGAATACCTCTTCCAGGTGTTCAAGGACAATGGATATCCAAAACAGTGGGTCAGAAGATGCCTATTACACGAACAACACCAGGAAGATACTACATGCCCCAAGGCACTCATCGCGCTACCTTGTATCAGGAACAGATCGGACCTAACCACAAGACTCCTATGACCACTAAGCATCAGAGTAGCACACAAACCCGTATCAACCCTACGACAACTGCTCACCTGAACCAAAGATCCACTACTCACTACGGACAGGACCAATGTCATATACAAGATTCCCTGCAGAGACTGTGACAAACACTACATCAGACAAACAGGAGGGAAATTGACAACAAGAGTACACGAACACCAATTGGCTGCAAAAAGACATGACCAATACTCACTCATCTCTATTCACATGGATAAGGAGAGCCACAAATTCGACTGGGACAACACCAAGATTCTGGAACAAGCTAAGCAGAGACCGGCACGGGAGTTCCTAGAAGCCTGGTACTCCACAAAGAAAGCCATCAACAAACACATAGAACTCGCCCCCATATACACTCCATTGCGAAGGAAAACCGGAAGTGAGGTAATCCGGCTCAATGGACGCCAGAGTTTAAAAACCAAGCGGGAGAACACAACAGCGCTTCATTGGAGGCTGCACTGATGATGTTACCCAGCAGAACAACAACGAACCAGCTCGGCGAGCCAACCAACCTCAACACGCACAACCCGAGCTACAAATCTATTCCAAAAATCTTTTGGATGCTTCCTGCATTTGTGAACACTCTGTCTCTAAAATGGTACCATTTGCAAGTAGCACTAGCCACTTGTGTTTATATAATGGCATTTGCCATTTTGCAGGTAAAACAGCACTTGTTGTGCTGAAAAACTTCATGATCAGAGATTTAAGTTGAGTGGTATCTTCCATTTATGTGCTGCCTTGACTTTATGTCCCTTTGCTGATGACTACAGTAGCATTTTATTATCAGAAAAGAGAATTCACTATTTTTAAACATTATCAACTCCAGCTTCAATTAGTACAGAATTGTAGTCTTTTAAATTCATTTTCAAACAATGAATGATGTAATTTTTTAGCAGTCAGTACTCAGCAGTTCTCACTTATTAACTATAGATGATTGGATTTCAGAAGCACCAGCACTTAACTCAAATATATAAAGGATTTGTAGCTTTTAAAAAGCAAAGAAGCTGTTGTAAACTTGTGCCATAAAAATGATACATCTCTGTATGCTGTATTCTTGTACTGCCATTCTAGGTAATTAGGCTGTGAATAACATACATCATTACTTATGCTACCACATGATACTTTCTGGGAATCTTTGGGTCACATTGTTGTTCATCTTCAGCAAAAATAGCTAGAAAGCAAATATCATTGCCACAACTCCGTTCAAATTAATGCTGATTGCAAATTTGCTGCACCACCACTGTTCACACTAGTGTTACTTAAACAGAAAAATAATGGTGCTGAAGACCTGGCAGCAGTGTGATTTTATGTGATTCTTTAAAATGTTTGCTTCTGATGCCTTTATTATTTACATTTAGAGCACAACAAGATCCGTTCAAATAGAATCTTCAGACCCATTATTATAAATGGAATCACTGTTAAAATTTCTCTCTTCAAAGGCATAAATTTTACCACAGCAAGAAGTACATTATTGACCAAAGCACTGCTATAGAGATACAACCTTTGCCATTGTAATCATTCCCTTGTAATAAGTAGCAGAGTAATGGAACATTTGCTGTTATTTTGTTGTTATTGAGACCAGTACTTCAATAGTACCAGTAAAAGGACTAAATCTTCTGTTGATCATCCCCAAAGGGTGTGCTCAATTCTAGTTATTTCCATATCAGTATCCTGGAAAATGATCCATGGTAGCATGGATTGGAATTGGACCACAGTGTAAAATTATGCTCCTGAATTTTGCAGTACTGCTCATCTGGGCAAGTAAACTGAAGCCAATAATCTGATTCACTTTGTGTAAGAGAGCATACAGTGTCTCCCTCAAGAATCTAATTGTCACCTCAATAATGTATAACTGAGTAAGGAATGGCAGATGCCTAACAGTGAGTGGTTGTATCTTATTAACTTTCTCCATTCTATTTATTGAGGTAGTGAAATCATCTGTACCTCTGGTCTTTAGGTACAAAATAAAAGATAAATTGAGTTCTTAAGAAACACACCAAAGCATCTTTACAAATTCTGTTACAAGTTATCTTGAATGTGTTTGTTCTGAAAGAATTAAATGAGTCTCATGTTTTAGTGATAATTTTAAACTTGTGAGGGGGGAAAAGATTTTAACCTAGTAATGGCAAGGAACTTGATGACTGTTATCTGTTGGTATAATACAAGATTAAGGTTTATGGGCACTCTAAGGCAATCAGAATTATTTACAAACTAAGCAAAGAATAAGATTGCCTGTGCCATTTCTGATTCAACGCTATGGTCACTGATGTGTTCTAATGATGTCTTCAGTAAATTTTACCATAAAATAAAAAAATTCACCGTTCTCTAATATTTGCCTCAAAATAATATTTATTTTCAGTAATACAACTATTTCCGTCTATCCCTTTTTCAGTAAGAAGCTGGCTGGAGAAAATCAAAGACAAAGTAAGTGCCTCGGGATGATTTCTTTTGGGCCCATACACTTATTACATGCTTTCGTTCAATACTGAGCTGTCTCTCACTTTGATGTTCTGCAATTTTAAGGATTCATTTAAAGGAAGTTACATCTGCCTTTTCTCTGTTACTGTTTTAAACTTCTTAGTTCTGTTCTAGTTGAAAGGACAGAAGTAATTTTGTTATCCTGGTGTGTTTTAGTGTATATCTATCATGGTAGTAGCACAATTATAAACTCTTTGCACTTGTTTCAATGCTGAGCCTCAGCAAGATAGCAGGATAGCAAAGGTTGTGGAGAAACCAGGTATCTAAGAGATCACCTTCCTAATTTCAGCATTTAACTGCACAAATGCAGATGTTGGCAGTTGTGGCTTGACTTACTCTTAAATCTTGCTGAGTGCTGTTAATCTCAATGTTATGTTTACCACAGAGTCTGGGCTCATGTGTTTGATATTTGAGTCTTTGTGTTTACTTTAAATGGAATCTGAACCAAATTATGAGCATTTTAGAATGAAAATTTGAAAGTTTGGAAGAAAATATTTCACCACCCAAAATAAAACAGCTAGGACCTCACCCCCATCCCAGGCCCCAAGAAGACTTTCCACATCAAGCAGA